TTCCAAGGTAAAGCCTCGTGTTGCCGTGGGAACGTCAACGTTCTAACGCTCCTGGCGTGGAGAAGGGCTGAGGGGGGGGGCGTCCCCAAAGACTCGAGGAATTAGCGCCGATCCCTGAGCAAGCCCCTCCAGAGAGTAAGGGCGGAATCGCGCGCAATGCTCTGTTGGGAATGTTCGTTTTACACCGGGGGGGGGGGGGCACACAAAGGTCCGCGTGCAAGTAAATTCTCGCATCAGGGGAGAACTGAGGTGGCAATTTAATTAGATTCGGCCTCAGAGCACTTAGAGGGGTCTGGGTAAAAGTCGGATCTAAATGGATCCTCATGAATTTCATATGATTTTTACATTGAAACGAAATAAAACCACCATCATATTGTAGGACATGTGTCAATCTACGGGGGCACTACAAAAATCAGGCATCCACAGATTCGTGGCACCACAACAGCGCAAACACATGATTCCAAAGGTCGGATCCTCATGAATTCATATGATTTCTGTGCTGCAATGAAATAAAACCAGCATCATACTGCAGACCATGTCTTAGACTATAGGCAGCACTCCAAAAATCATGCCCCCACAAATTCGTGGCACCACAAAACTGCAAAAACATGGTTCCAAAGCACGGAGCCTCAGGGTTTTTCAAGCCCTTTGGAACAGCTACAGCTATAGGTGTTCAAAACAAAACCCAATTATTTATGGAAAAAAGTAAAAGCTGGATGGATCTACATGGATCCTGATGGATCCTCTAGTTTTTTTCACCAACCCCCCTGAAATCCAGTATAAAATCACATGTCAAAGCCAAGACCAATGTTCCCTCAAAGCTGTGGAGTCTCGTGAGCAATTATTCTGCTTTGTGAGCTACTGGCATTAAAGCTGTGAGCGAGCAATTTGGCTACTGCATAAATTAGTTGGCTCTGGAGTCATCCTCCCTGAGCTAAGACAAAAATGTGTGAGCCAGAGGCTAAAAAACTGTGAGCTAGCTCACACTAACTCAGCTTAGAGGGAACACTGGCCAAGACCACAGAATTTCGAACGTTAAGAACATGGATCCAATACTTTGCAAAGCAGCAATGGCAAGAGAACATGGATCCTCATTAACTCACATGAATTTTACATTGAAACAAAATAAAACCACCTTTATATTGTACATCATGTCTTAGTCTTTAGTCAGCAGCACAGAAATCATGCATCCGCTGTTTTGTGGCACCACAGTGGCACAAAAACGTAGTTCCAAAACATGGATCCTCAGGAATCTTCATGATTTTTGCTTTGAGTCACCCCAAACGCACCATCAAATCACATTATGTCCATAGCCACATATTACAACAGAAAAATCACAGATCCACTGCTTCATGGTGTCGCTATGGTGGAAAATTGTAGTTCTGAAGCACAGATCTTCATGGATCCTCGGGACTTTTACACTGGGTTTCCCCAAACTCACTATCCAATCATACATCATTTTCATGGCCACAGACTGCACTACAGAAATCATGCATCCACTGTTTCATGGCATTGCCATGTTTCCAAAAGATAGTTCCAAAGCACAGATTTTCATGGATCATCAGCATTTATTTATTTTTTTGGTCACACCAAATTCATTATCCAGTTACATATCAGGTCCATGTCCATGGCCCCAGGGTGCATCACAAAAATCATGCATCCACTACTATGTGACACTGCCAGAACACATAAATACAGTTTCAAAGCATGGGTCCTCATGTTTTTTTGTTGAGTCGCCCCAAACTCACCATCAAAACATGTATCATGTCCATAGCCACAGCCTGCACAACAAAAATCATAGATCTACTGTTTTGTGGTACCACCATGGCACAAAAAGAGATACTCGTGGATCCCCAGGATATTTGCATTAGGTCCCAAACTCACTATCCAATCACATAGCATATCCAGAGCCACAGTTTGCACAACAAAAATTATGTGGTACCACCATGGCACAAAACTGTGGTTCTAAAGCATGGATTCTCATGATTTGTGCTTTTGGTCACTCAAAGGTCACCATCAAATCATATATCATGTCCATGCCCACAGACTGCACCACAAAAATTACAGATCCACCCCTTCGTTGCATTGCCACCATGGCACAAAAGCATGAATCCAAGGCATGGATCCTAATAGAACTCCAGGATTTTAAAGTTAGGTCATGCAAAACTCATAATCAAATCATTTATCACATCCATGGCCACAGAACTGCACCACAAAGTTCACAAATCCATTGCTTCATGGCACTGCCACAGTGCAAAAACATGGATCCAAAACATGATCCTCATGAGTGTAATGTGGGGTCACCAACAAATCATATCACATCCATGGCAACCTATTGCACCACAAAAAGCATGGGTTCGCCTTTTCATGGCACCACCATGGATCAAGAACATAGATCCAAAGCACTGGATCCTCATGAATCCTTAGGAATTCTACCTCAGTTCACCCAAAAATCATTAGGAAATCACATATCACATCCATGCCCACAAAATGAATCACAAAGAACATAAAGCCTAGTCTTTGTGAAATTCCCATGGTGGAACGCTGCATTAAATTCTTGAATCCTTATGATTGTTAAATGGCATTCTCATTTCACACTACATTTTGGAATATTCTACATGGAAATTGTGAGGACTAACAGTTTTTCTGTAATAGAGTCTGCTGGGTAGCCGTATTTGTCTGAAGCAGCAAAACAAAGTTTGAGTCCAGTGGCACCTTTAACACCTTGATCTTGTTGTTAGTCTTAAAGGTGCCACTGAACTCAAACTTGGTTCTAGTTTTTCTATAAGTGTCTGTGTCATTGTGATACCATAATGTCCTGGATTTAAAAATTGATAGAATCAGCGGAAATGAATATGATCTGTGATCTGTCAGTGATTTTTCAGGAACTGTATGTAAAACTGGTAGGCAGACATGTTTCATGCCATGGGCTAGCATCATAATGGCACTTTTATTTTGATGGTGCATTCCGTTAATGTTGATGTTGATCTGTGATTTCATTGTCTATATGAGAATGTTCCATGAAGAAATCATGAACGTACAAGAGGATTTGCATCTTGGATCCATTTTTTTTTTTGCGCCTTTGCTATGCCACAGAACAGAGAGTTTGTGGTTCAGTCTACGGACATTGACCTGATGTTGAGTTTTGTGGAGTCTATATAAAAACCAGGGATACAATGAAAGGGAAAACAACAACAACCTGAAAATCAAATTAGCAACCTTAAAGGTTGAGTAACAAGAACATAAGATAAAATACAAATATTTATTGCACAGCACACCAAAAATTTGGGATTAAAAACAACATACAAAAAATGTCAAAGCATAGTATACAGCAACAGATTTGAGTTGCACATACAGTAACTTCAGGTCACACATATCAAATACTCACAGAACCAGATGCATTTCAGCCCAGAGAGCCTTCTTCAGTGGTTTAAATTATGATAACACACACATAAAGAGTAAATATAAAATATCTTTTTTGGACCAAGTGGGTTATATATGTAGCACTGAAAGGTGAAGCTCCAAATAAAGATTATAAATCAGGTCTGCATATACTGAGGAGCCCACACTCATCAAAGATGGTAACATTGAACCACCATTCTGACCTTGGCCATTGCTCTTATCTCTATGTAAAAATCATAAGACTCAATGACAAAATGTTTTCACGTGCAGTTTTTCTGCCACAGTGATCCCATAAAGAACCATATCTCTGTTTTCTCTAGTCCATTTCATGGACATATATGTAGTGTATTATATCAGAGTGAATTTTAATGGAACTCTGTGTAAACATATGGATTCCTGAGGTTCCAGAGCTTTGGATCATTGTTTTTGAGCAATGGAGGTGCCATCAAGAAATGGACCCATGCTTTTTGTGGTGCAATCTGTCACCATAAGTGTGATATGTGGTTTGTTGGTGACCCCACCTAAAAATCCTGAGGATCCATGCTTTGGATCCATGTTTTCGCACCATGGTGGTACCACAAAGCAATGGATCCTGTCATTAAAAAATTAAATAAGCTAGGCAATAAGGCAGTTGCTACTGAACCTCATACCCTGCCCCCTGCAACTAGCATTCAGAGATACATTTACTAATAGTTTGCCTTTTCCCTTGAGACTCAGGGTGGATTACAAAAGGGGTGGGCCATAAAGACCAAGCAATCTAAGACTTATCATAAATGACTCAACAACTGGCGTACAACAATTGGGGGGGGGGAATGCAGTACAAACAAGATAATATATAGTGAAATAAACTACAACCCTATTTCCTTTATAAAAGTGGCCTCTTGATCAATTCCATTTATTAACCCTATGTCCTTTTTTAAAAATGCCCTGTTGAGAGCAATCAGGGCTCATATAGCTACCACTGCTGACAGAAAATAGAAAAAGGAGCTCTAGTACATGAGATTTAAATTGACCTAGAATGCAAATATAAAACTGCTCTGTTTCTCTTCTGCATCCTTTCCTGCATTATTAACACACCTCCGGTGCAAACAGTGTGAGAGAGGCTCAGACATGCATTTTTGGTGTTACATGCTAAAATAGTCCATATCTGAGTCCTCCTGGGAGTGCTGTGTGTGTGTTGAGATTGACACGCATTCTTAGTTCATGCAGTGCTTTTACTAGGTGCTTACAAAAGGGAGGAGAGGCTCCGTTCATGACAAAGTGCATGATGGGAGGCCCCCTTTTGTGCGTACTGCAGAAAACATGGAGTGGGTAATATACTATTAGGGGAGATGGAAAATGCCACGGGAAAAGCCAAACTGTGGGACGAGTGACTCTCAGTATTTGACACAGAAAAAGACTTTACGTATTTTTCTCCCAAATAACCTCTTTTAGTAGAATAGATTACTTATTTATATCAGAGTCTTCAATAGATAGTCATATCATCATCTATTGGCATCAGGCAGTGGTTGGATCATGCTCCAGTGGATTGCGTAATAAAAAGGAAAGAAAAACCAAGCAATTCAACTGGATATTGAACAAAGCTTTATTGAAAGACCCAGTAGCCTTTTCGACAATAGAATCTGATATTAAGGACTTCTTTGACATTAATCTTGATCGTGATGTTCCTCTAGAGGTGATATGGGACTCTCTTAAGGCGGTGATACTAGGCAAGTATATTGCACTTTCATCTGCCTATAAAAGATGCAAAAACAAAATACAAGAAGAATTAAAAAATGAAACTCAACACCTGGAAAACATCCACAAGAAGACCTGAAGCAAGAAAATCTACCGACATCTGTTAGCACAAAGAAAGAAACTGGAAGCACTAGAAATTATACAGATTTTTAAAAATTCAATATTAAAACAAAAAATTAACTTTAGAAGTCACAAATCACTACATTTTCTGTTTTGGAAGATTAAATAGTGAATGGCAGAACGCTTCGTTACCTGCATAAGAGACCAGCAGGGCAATCTGCAAACATCCTCCAATAAAATAATACAAACATTCGAACAATACTACAAATTGTTATATAGTTCTTCTAATCCAAATAAAAATGAGATCTACTATTTTAAAAAAAACTAATTACTAATGATTTAAGCTCTCCTCAGTAGTCGTGGTTGACTCACACCTAGAAAGCGCTGGCTCAGCCACAGCTCACGCTGGACAGGAATAACAACAATGATCTGCAATTCTGTTTCATTGTCTGACGTGCACACGAAATCACACCCTGAATAAAACTTTGTTAGTTTTAAAGGTGCCACTGGATTCTAACTTTATTCAGAGTATGCGCTGTTTTGAACAGTGCATAATACCGAATATGTCTTAACGCTAGTAACATTTACTAAAAAAATATTTAACTTTAATAAACCACCATTTAAATCAATAATGGGATTTAAAAAAATATTCTGATATCTGCTCTCTCGAAATTTATGTCTCATCGGAAACACTTCAGCTATTCAGACGACCCAGGGGGAGCCCAGGCTTGTCTGTCGCGCAGTCGCACTAGAGCCTTCCTGTCGCTTAGCGACCTAGGTCCGCACGGTTGTGGTCACGTGACACGTCCAGGAAGCGGGACCTCTCGATGAAGTCATAAGCACTGGACGCTTTGTTGTGGGTGGAAGTAGCTTGGCCAATTTCCGGTGGGATCCATAACGGTCCCCAGTACCAGCGTGAATCAGGGCAAGGGGGATCTTATTTTTATCTGTCGTAACAGAGTGCGGGGATGGCGGCGTGGCCGCCGCGCTCCCTTAATTTATGCCCGAGTCGAGAAGAGGAGCTGCAGCCGCCTGACTCGCAGGTACTGCCCTCTCTCTCCGTGTAGAAGCGCCACTTCTTTCCCAAGAGACGCACTGATTCAATGTCCCTGAAATATTGTCTGCTTTCTGTTGGGGAGGCTCCGGGGGGAGGTGGGGGGGGGGCTGTCGGCCCTGGTATCGTACCCAAGAGGAATGGAATCTTTGTCTCCTTTAACCACAAAGGGATTGCTTCGGCAGAGCACGGATTTAGCCCTTTACTCGGTTTAAATGCTTTGTTTCACTCCGCCGTTTAGTCCAACGTTGCTGTCCAGGTGGCTGACAAAATCCAGAAACACAGTGAATTTGCAACGCGCAGCAGACCAGGGGCGTCTTAGTGTCTTCTCCCCAAGTCTCCAGCATTTCGTGGCCCTGTTGCCCTGGCTCTTGTTCCTCCTTTCAGAATTTGTGTCCTCAGATTCCCCCCCCATACACACAGACCCGTCAGAAGCAGCCATGATGGGCTGGAGGGGAGTTCGGGCCGTCTCCTCCCTTCTAGCTTTTGGGAGCTGGAGAGAGAGACTATGTGTGACACCGTGTTAAACAGGAAACTCTTCTCATTCAAAAGGACACCTCTTTTGTTACGTTTTTCTCTGCTAAAGGTGGGTCAAGGCCCCATGGATGAGTCACTGCTTGCTCCCCACCCCCCTTCCCAGCCTTGGACTTCTTCCTTTGCATCTTGGATGCTCTTAAGGAAAAGATGTCAAGGCCCCAAATCTGCTTTATTACTCTAATCTGGTGGTTTCTACTTCAGAACATCACACACATTCACTGTCAGAGACTTGATTTTTTATATGTTATTTATAGGCTGTTTTTCTCAAAGTCTCAAAGCAGATCACACAGTGTAAGTGAATACTGTCAACAGGATGGGACATGTAAAGTGATACAATAGGGTTAGGATTACTGAAATCTGAAAAAAGAGCTGAAACAAGAATAAGTATTAACGTATGTTAAACAATGCAGAAATTATATAGTAAGATCATACATGCAGCAACAGATTACAGTACATCATATACACAGTAATACAGTCCACAATCCCTATCCCTTTACTAAAGCATATTTTTGAACAATTTTATTAAAGTATAGCTGAATTACCTGTGCAAAAATACCCTTCTGAGAAATTCAGTTTTGTATCGTTTGCAAAATGTTTGTGGGGAGAGCCTGTCAGTAAGTGGCTGGCTGTATTTGTGACTTATAGAAAGAGACAGAATGACTGTGAAGAGATGGAAATCCCTTTTTTTCTTTTTTCATTATCTCCTAGACTAGAGTTTGCCCTTTTGCCTTCTTTGTTTTCAGTGTATTGCTGTCATGTTGTTTCTATTTCTATAGCAGATTAAAGGGCACTCACATGCCCCCATGTCACTGAAGGTTGCAAGCATGTTGATATGTTTGCTATTTAAAAAACAAAATGAAACTGTTCTTGTTTACTGTCACCATTATTGGCCTACTAGGGTTTTCCTTGTTTTGTTCCTGTCTGTTAATGGAAAAACCCTTCTCCAAGACACCATTCATCCGGGGAGGGGGCGTTGAACAGCAAATTCTCTCTCTTGAGCATACTGAATGGGCACAGAACAAGAAATTTAAAAGTACTCATTGAGTATAGAGCACCCCACAGCCTGTGTGTGTGAATGTGTCTGTGTTACATAAAATACAGAATTATAAATAAGACCAATCCTGCAGATTTACATGGAAGGAATCCCTTTTATTTAATGGGATCTGCTTCCATGATACTATGCATAGAATTTCAGCCATGCAGAGTGGGGTCATGTATGTTCATTGCGAAAGAAGCCTCATTGTATTCAGTGGGATATAGTGCCAGGTCAATGTGCATAAGATCACATACTTAGTCACATATAGAACTCGGGATCATTGAACAGAGTTTAGTTACCCTGATCTGGATAGCCCAGGTTAGCCTGATCTTGTCAGATCTCAGAAGCTAAGTAGGCTTGGCCCTGGCTTGTATTGGGATGAGCGACCTTAAAGAAAAATCAGGGTCATCATGACATGGAGGCAGGCAATGGCAAACCACCTCTGAATGTCTCTTGCCTCAAAAACCCTACTGAGTTGCCATTTCTGAATGTCTCTTGCCTCGAAAACCATACTGAGTTGCCATAATTCAGCTGTGACTTGACAGCATGCACACACAAACATAGTTTAACATTTTATTGTACTCGCCATCTGTGTATGCTTACCAATAAAATTGGGATTCTGATTCTGTTGCCTGCTAAAGGAGTATAGAGTTGCTAGGTGATATTTATTCCATATTCGTTAACGTGATTTGCAATAATGTGATCTTTGATGTGTAGTGAAGAGGCTGTTTTCTGTCTCTGGTGCTACATTCACAGAATAAATATTTTTATAGGAAAAGTGGCAGTATATTTCAGAAGAGTAGTGCTGAGTTGTATCAGCCAGTCAGAAAGTGACATCTTTCCTTGTGTACACAAAATGATGTTTTTGTACTCGAACTTTAGAAAAGACAATAATCATGCAGAATTTCCCTTCTTAAATCACGGTAATTTGGAGACAAGCCCTTGGCTTTGCAAAGGTCAATAGTTGCTATCTGAGAAAGGTGTTGGATTGGATAATTTTAGCATCTTGATACTGCTGTATCAGATTTTGAATTAACCTTTTCCTTGAGTGAGAATAGGTTCATTCTCCTGAGAAAGGCTCATGAGAATAGGCCAGTTTGCTCAAGCCGTTACCTTTGCCAAAACATCTTGAAAGGGTCCATGCCACCTCTGTTATACCCCTGTTATATTTTTTTACTTCAAAAGATTGATTCCACTGACAACCTTAGAGGGCTCTTGTAATGTCTCACAATAAAAAATTAAACAGATCAAAACATAAAATTATTAGAATAAAAAAGCTAAGAAGAGCCCAGCTATAAGTCCACGTGTGATAGCCATAAGCCACTGAGACACTTTATTGCAGTGGTGACCAACTGTCAGGCTGCTTGAGTGAGTAACTGTCTATCTAGGTAGAAAAGTCCATGAGAGGCATTCTAATCAAAACATGTATACAAGTTTTCCCATGTGATTTCATAACCACAAATCACTAATCTTATGTAACTGCTTAGTATACAATATCTTATGCAAGAGTATTTTTAAAGAAGCTGTTCTGTTTGCTGATGTTATATAAACCAGTTTGTTTTATTTGGAAATAATTAAAAGGGTTTTTTTAAACATGCAGATTTGTAATGATGGGATTGAAATGGCCTGCCAGCAACAAAAGGCATTTGTGAAGAGTTCTGTGGAATGCAAATGGAATTTAGCAGAAGCCCAGCAGAAACTTGGCAGTCTAGCCCTGCACAACTCAGAGTCCATAGACCAAGAGCATGCCAAAGCGCAGGCAGCAGCTGCAGAGCTGAGGTATAGTGAAGAAGAGTGGCGCCGGAAAGAAGAAGTGTTAAGGCAACGGGAAAGGCAGGATCTGTGGAATGTAGATTTCGTTAGCAAGGAAGTATTTAATAAGGTATGGACTAATCAGTTCCTAAACAATAGAAACACAGGCACAAGTAAAGCATAGATACTGCAGAGCATTTTTAAAGTGGGCATATAGCACCTATAACTGCAGAATCTTTGTGCATCCTGTTCCTGTATTTCTGACAGTAAGGGTGTGGTTGGGAGGGAGTTGGGATTAAATTGCTAGAAATGTGATATGTGGTAAATATTTCATTCTTTTCAGTTGCACTGATCCAAGTCTTAGAAGAGGTGGGCTTTTGTTCCAAGTGATGGCTTTAGCCTGTCTCTGTATTGTCATCTGTGATCTTGAGCAGAGTTGATCAAATGTTAATTGCATAACTACCAAGATTTATAGCACAGTCCTATGCTTGATTATGTGCAGATAAGCTTTTTGCTTTCAGTTGGCCTTGGGTGTGTTTAACTCTGCATAGGTTTGGGCTGCTAATCTTTCTGCTTCCCAGAAATAATCTTGTTGAGTGCTTGTATGGAGAATGGACTTCGTACAGTAAACACAAGAGCATGCATGAAATACAATCCACGAGCCATTTTAGCCAGTGTGGTAGAATAGATTAATTCCCTACTGGAGGGTTTACATAGGCAGAACTGTTTCCACCCTTGGAGCAGAACTTTTTTACCCCCGCTCTCTCACTATAACCCAGAGCGCCCCGAATTGCTGCTCCATACCACAACAGGAGGAAGAGGCAAGAAAGTTGTGCTCTTCAGGTGGAAATCCTTTGTCTGTACAATTAAACCAGTTAATGGATTGGATCGTTTGGTCTTTAATAGATAACCACATGTGTATGAATGTATAACTTTAGTGCAAATTCAGGACCTGAAATAGTTAGCAAAGGGAATATTCTGTTTTCTCCAGTCCCTTGACCTCAACAGCAACTCTTAGAAAGGAGTTATTTGGGAAATTGCTCTTTAGCTTCTCAAGTCTGGTCAGGCCTTTTCTTTTTTTGTGCTCTGCATAGTTTCCATTGATAGGTGGCTGTTGAATGATGATAGCTTTCCCATGTAAGATTTTTTTACTAAAATATTGTGATATATTGGGTGTTTCATCAGTGCTGAAATTCTGTTTACTAGAGCTTCATTAATCAAAAAGAAAGGAAAGAAATGGAAGAAGATGCATCTGAATCTTTCATTCAGAAACATGAGCAGAAGATTAGGCATTTTGGTAAGTACAGGTAGCTTGATGGTGATCTTGATTACCATAACCTTCACTTAAATCACTCAAGTGCTGGTTAAATGCAGGCTATTTTTATGTGTCAGGAAGAACGCAGTGATGTAGTTTCCCCCATATTATAACAGTTGGATAGCCAGTGTAGGACTCAACTTGTATCAAAACATTTCTGCATAATAAATTATTCTGCTCACCTCTTATTGTTTTTCCAGGCATGTTGAGCAGATGGTTTGACAGTCAGCGATTTCTGTCTGAACACCCCTACCTTGTCTGTGAAGAAACTGCTAAATATCTCCTTTTATGGTGTTTCCATCTAGAAGCTGAACAGGTATTACTTAAAATGGCCTCCTTTGATATAGAGGAAGCTTGTTCTTCCACATCACCCTGTGTATTCTAAACCAAGGCTATCCTTACAGATAAACTCAGCTGTCCCCAGCTTTTGATCTGTTTCTGGACTTCTTAATGTCTTAATGCGGGGGGTGGGGGGATGGAAGCATAAAGGTTGATGCTGTTAGAGTATTAACTATGTGTGTGTGTGTGTGTGTGTGTGGAAGCATACAACATCCAGAGAGCTCTGAAGTTAGCAGCAGCCTGTAATCATATGATAATTGTGGCCAGTCTGTCTATTGAACTCCTCCATCATGAAATCGATGGAGGATAACATTGACCAGATTTTGAAGGACCTACTCTGGTACTTCCTAAAATATGGACCTAGTAGTTTACTTGTACCATGCCATCTTCCACCCTGTCTTGCAAAGGTTGATGTTGTTAGAGTATTAACTATAAGTGCAAGCTGCCATTTAAGAAATGGTACATTCATTTTTAAATGGCAGTGTTTGTTCTGGGCCAACAGCTATTTTACCTAATATCCTCTTGCAGGCTTTGCAGCATCCTTACTGAGCTGCAAATTGATGCTCTACCAGGATTGCGGCAGTTCTTTCTGCTTTGGTCTTGCTTTGATTCTGCTTTGTGGTCATGACTTTTTTCAGAAACGAGCTCTGATGGAGCAAGTAGCCCACCAAGCAGTTGTGATGCAGTTCATTATTGAAATGGCCAAAAGCTGTAATGTGGATCCACGAGGCTGTTTTCGTCTGTTTTTCCAAAGAACTACAGTGAGTTGTGCTTTCTGTTTAAAGGGGGGGGGGAGCTTTGAGTAGTTTTGAAGAATTTGTGCTTTTATGACCTAGCAAAAGATTTCCTTTATCACAGCTCATAAATGTGTCTTGTTTTTCAAACTTTCATAAAGTGGTGGTAGTACAGGCCCAGCAGATTCTGAATAAGCCAGTGTTTTGTAGCAAAACCAAATGCCTTGATTGCATTTACTCTTTGGCTCCTTTCCTTACTTAAATTCTGGACCACCCTTTCTACTTCTTTTTGAATTTCCATGTTGAATACTTTGCTGCTATATTCTGGAGTAACTTTGATTTTCCTCTAGTAGAAATTATCACTTATGAAATTGTTGGGCAGGGTACACAACATAATTGTTAACCCATTGACATATATATATGTATCTTGTTTATCATGCATGCATACCCGTGCATCACTGTTTATGGTAATACACACATATCTGCAAATGATTCACTAGAAATTATACACACTGCTCATGTCATTATGATCCAAGGGTGCCATATATCCATAAAATTGAGTATATTACTGTACCCTTAGCAGAACTCTGGAGAGCTGTACAGGGATATGCAGATGTGAGGGAGGGACACAGATGTATAAGCAGATACTTTTGGAGTTCTTTGAAAAAGTGAACAAGCATGTATAGAATGGTGATCTGGTAGATGTTATATACCTGAACTTTCAAAAGGCTTTTTGTCAAGGTACCTCACCAAAGACTCCTGAGTAAACTTAGCAGTCATGGGATAAGAGGACAGGTTCCCTTATGGATTCAAAACTGGTTAAATGACAGGAAACAAAGAGTAGGAATAAATGGACAGTTCAGACAATGGAGGGAAGTAAGCAGTGAGGTCCCACAAGGATTGGCATTGGGGCCGGTACTATTTAATTTATTCATAAAGGATCTGGGACTAGAGGTGAGTAGTGTAGTGACCAAGTTTGCAGATGACACAAAATGATTCAGGATGGTGAAAACCAAGGCTGACTGTGAAGAGCTCCAAGAGGACCTCCACAAACTGGGTGAGTGGGCGACACTGTGGCGAATGAAGTTCAGTGTTGGTAAATGTAAAGTGATGTGCATTGGGACAAAAAAATCCCAACTTCAGGTATAGGCTAATGGCTCAATGAAAGTGTCAACCCAGTGTACTGCAGAAGTGAGAAAGGTGAACTCTATGTTAGGGATCATTAGGAAAGGGATTGAGAATAAAATGTCCAATATTGTAGTGCCCCTTTATAGATCTGTGGTGTGACCTCATTCGGAATACCGTGTACAGTTCTGATCACCATATCTCAAAAAGGACATTGCAGAACTGGAAGAAGTACAGAGGACAACAACCGAAATGCTTAAGGGGTTGGCACACCTTCCTTATGAGGAAAGGCTGAAGAGTCCAGGACTTTTTCATTTTAGAAATAGACAACTAAGGGGAGGGGGGGACATGATAGAGGTTTATACAATTATGCATGGGGTGGAGAGAGTTTACAAAGGTAATTTTTTCCCCTTTCCCAAAATACTAGAACTTGAGGGCAGCTAATGAAGCTGATGGACAGTAGGTTCAGAGTGTGATTTGCACAGAAAGTGATTAAACACTAAGAGTGTGGAATTCGCTGCCAGAGGATGTAGTGATGACTACAGGAATAAACAGCTTTAAAAGGGGATTGGATAGATTCATGGAGGATAAGTCTATCAATGGCTACTAGCCATGGTGACTGAGAAGAACCTTCACATTCAGAGGCAACATTAGGGGAAGGCCTCGGCCTCCCCTGTTGGCCCTCTAGAGGAACTGGTTGGCTACTGTGTAAGATAGGATGCTGGACTAGATGGACTATTGGTCTAATCCAGCAAGGTTCTTCTTATGCTCTTATACTGAGGAGATACAGGTTGGATCCAAGCTTTTTTGGCAGTAGTGGATCTTCCCTGTTTTCTGATTTCCTCTGTATGTTCCTGTACATTCCCATAAAGCTGCTGTTGAGGTTTGGAGAATCTCACATGAGGAACTGCTGCATGAAACAGGAATCAAATGAGATATAGTCTCTTATATTAAGGAGGAAGTTCCACAAGCAGAGCAAAAGCTTGTGCCAGAGGGAGCAATTTAAGTTCTGCATCTGTGCCCATAGCATGCTTTTCTCGGGACCTCCCCCCCAAACTCTCAGTGGTGGCTTTTGGGGAGGGTGCAGGGGGAGTTGGACTAAGGGAAACAGAAAGATTTGTTCTACATATTCCATCTTGGATCCAGCACACAAAGCTGAGGCAGCATGTATGACCCCCCTAGTGTCCCTCTAAAGGGCTTAACAAGGAGGTTGGCAAGCTTCAGGTGGTTCAAAGATTTCAGTCACTGTCTTAAGGGTTGTTTTTTTTAATGAGCTAATAATTTAAGAATAGAACACCTATGTCTGTTTTGGAGTCAGTATGCTGTAGTGAATGTCAGACTGGGATCTGGGAGACCCAGGTTCAAATCCCCACTTTGCCACAGAACCATGCTGGGTGACCTTGGGTGAGTCACAGTCTCTCAGTCTAACCTACCTCACAGGGTTATTGTGAAGATAGAATGGTGTTGTATGCCAATAAAAGGTATTTGAATTTGAAAAAAAAGAATTTGATAGAATGGTGAAGAGAACAACATAAGCCACTTTTGGTCTCCAGTGGGCAGAAAGGTGGAGTGCAAATGGAGTAAATAAATACCAGAGCTTTGGTGGTAGTTCTTGATATGGAATTATATTTTAAAGAGTTCTACATTCCATTGCTATAAATAGACTTGTGGAGCCTGGACCGCACTTGGCTTGAGCACAGCAAAGCAAACGGATGTCTAAAAATATTCACAGGTCACACTGGCTGTGTGTTGTGGATAGCTATGAAAAAAATCTGTTTCCATTTCAAGCACTGGGTCTTGCTGTCAAATGCACTTGCAAAGGAATGCCTTAAGCTTTAAAGAGGGACACATGGAATATATGTTCTTTTGTCTTTTAGTACCCGGTTTCATTCTGTGGCATTCAAGAAGGCACTTTACATATTATCAAGTCACAAAGTTACCCTGCAAGTTGCTCTTATATTTAAATTCTCACTGCAGGAAAGATTTATGCACATAATTTACATAGTTTAGTATGTAAGTAGCTTGAGAGAGGGCCATTCATGTTTAGTTTCTTTTTATGGGCTGTATGCAACAGTAGCTATCAGCAAGGCTGGGTGCATGCAGAGATTCTATGATGGTGGAGAAATCAGCTTTCTTATAGTCTCCCCTCTCATTTTTTTAAAAAAGGAAGACAGTTTCTAGTTCTTGTGCTTGCAGCAATACTTCATAGTGTGTGGGCAATGTTTACGGAAGTTTCAGAAGTCAACAGAGTGGTAGAGTAATATTTCCATAGCTTACTGGTAGGGCTGTGCTATTTAGCATAGCTATTGGCTGATCAGACTGCAAGACAAGAAGAACACTTTGTTGCCATTTGGTATCCAGTTATAGATTACTTAACAGAACATGAAGTGTTGCCTAATAATACATTTTATAGAACTCTACTGTATTTTTAAATTATGGTTTGATGTTCTTGTTAATATTATTATTGTTGTTATATTTATTTGTCTTTCCTTTTTGAATTGGTTTTACTGAAACTATGGCTAGTATAGGCTTACCTTTTTGAATATTGATTGTTATAGTGTATTGTTCTTAATAAAAATAACCCCCCCCCCCAAAAAAAAAGGCCAGGAGAATTAGAACAACTTAGTGGGGAGAAGGGGAAAATCCTATAAAATAAAGTCAAGTTACATGCATTTACTGAATTGTCATATTTATACAAGTCATTGCATTGAGCTTTTGGACACAGAGTGTGGATTACCTGGCCAGAGAAATTTTATTTTACTTCTTTAGTACAGAGTATTTGTAACCTTGAGCATGAAATCTGAGAACCACATAATTGCTTGTGAGTCATTACTCTTTTTTTTGACAGATGGGCGAAGAAGGCTATTTGGAGGCTTTTAAAAACGAACTTGAAGCATTCAAATCAAGAGTGAGAATTTGTTCGCAGTCCCAAAATTTTCAAGCAATGTCTGTTCAGAATCCTTCCGTTCATACCAGCCTCAATTCTATAGGAGGGTTTACATCTTTTACACAGGTAGGTCTTGTTATGAATGTAGTTTTCTGCCACTTTTAATGCCTAGCAGTATCTTCTCAGAAGAAACTTGTTTATTTTCTCCTTTTTCTTCCCTCCTTTCTCAGCATTGTGCCAGCTGAGTAAGGCAATGTTTCTGTGGATACCAGGTTATAGCAGGACCTAGTGCTTGTGTGTTAAAGGCCCTTAACACCATGAAGCAGGGAGTGAATGTCTATCATGATTGCTTCCATTCTCCCCAGCTGTGGGTAAAGCCAGCAATACGTCCAGCATCCCAGTGATTAATCTATTAAACCTTCAGCCTTTACATACACAGCTTTATCTGATACTACTCCAAACATAAAAATTGAACCTAAAATTCGAAACAAATTGTAATTAACATGAAATCCATGAGGAAAACTTCTTAGGTGAGGTCCCACAAGATGAATGATGTTTCAATTTTCCCCCTGAAACAAAAAACCTCTTACAGTAGGAGAGTTGGATGAAAATACTTGGTCCTCACATACACAGCTTTATCTGATACTACTCCAAACATAAAAATTGAACCTAAAATTCGAAACAAATTGTAATTAACATGAAATCCATGAGGAAAACTTCTTAGGTGAGGTCCCACAAGATGAATGACGTTTCAATTTTCCCCCTGAAACAAAAAGCCTCTTACAGTAGGAGATTTGGATGAAAATACTTGGTAAACCAATTTGTATGTCAAAATGATCATCACTTGGGGCTTTCTGAATGCTGTAGCTTTGCCCAGATAGAACTCCATAGCCAACACTAAACCACCCAAGAATTGCTGTTTACCAGCTCTCCCCCATGTTTTTGTCCCAACTAGCATGGTTATATCTCCCCTTCTACTGTGTGGAGAATGATGATGTCAACATGTAAGCCGCCCGGAACCTGCTCCAGCAGGGAGGGTGGGGTATAAATTGAATGAATAAATAAATAAACATGACAGGGGAATGAGACCTATTAGGGTCAAAGTCTCAAGAATTTAAGAGACTGTGTAATCGTAAGCAAAATTTGTACCCTTCTAAGACTTCTTTGGAAGAGTTAAGATTGCACTGTGAGTTGCACAACCCAACCACAGTATATATGTCTTGAAGTATTAAAAATGCTACCTTAATCAAGAATATAGTCCTTCATATTCAAATGTGTGTGTGGGCTAACTTAGTTTATAAAGCATCAGACAAGGAGCCCTATGTTAGACATAAATCTAGGATACCAAATCAAGATTACCGCAAAAGATACAAAAGAACTTTGCCATGCTTTATGGGATAACGCCAAAATGCTCCCCAATTTTCAACTAATGTGGCCTAGGATTTTTTCTTTAAAACCTCTGGGGGTTATATCTCCCCTTCTACTGTGTGGAGAATGATGATGTCAACATGTAAGCCGCCCGGAACCTGCTCCAGCAGGGAGGGTGGGGTATAAATTGAATGAATAAATAAATAAACATGACAGGGGAATGAGACCTATTAGGGTCAAAGTCTCAAGAATTTAAGAGACTGTGTAATCGTAAGCAAAATTTGTACCCTTCTAAGACTTCTTTGGAAGAGTTAAGATTGCACTGTGAGTTGCACAACCCAACCACAGTATGTATGTCTTATTGAAGTATTGAAAATGCTACCTTAATCAAGAATATAGTTCTTCATATCCAAATGTGTGTGTGGGCTAACTTAGTTTATAAAGCATCAGACAAGGAGCCCTATGTTAGACATAAATCTAGGATACCAAATCAAGATTACCGCAAAAGATACAAAAGTACTTTGCCATTCTTTATGGGATAAGGCCAAAATGCTCCCCAATTTTCTTTTTTCTTTGAAACCTCTGGGCTAACAATAGGATATAAACTATTTAAAGCAAGACCTGCAGGTCACTTGCTCAGCTCTACCTCCACGGTACCTCCACAGGAGGTCTGATCACGTAACTGCGCAGTAGTTTGCCCCAGGGCAAACAGCCACGCTTCTCCTCTGCAGTTTCCTGCCCGTGTGACCGGGGCCACAGTTGTTCATCCTCATGTGCATAACCATATATTTCTGCTATTGATTTTCCTGTTTCTATTATTCCAGTCCATGGGGTTCATCCTTCTAAGCTATATTTTTCTAGTTACCATTTGCATCGATGTCTCCTAGGTAGTGGCTGCCAGTTCTATTACTAGGAGTATTTCAGCAGCAGAGATGCCTGATGAAAATGTTCAGTGACTCCCAAGCTTGAGTCTTGCGGAACATCTGAGGTTACCAGTCTTAAAACATGCCAGAATGGTTTTTGCCCATGAATCTTTGCCTGTGTTTTTTAGTGTTATCATGTCTTTTTTTTTTGCTGTTCCATTAATACAAGGCCTGCTCAACCCTGTGGTTTGTTCACCAAGATTAATTTTATTAAATACTGCTTTCCAAAAGGGGACATGTTTAAAGTGATGTACAATGCAATATTTGAAGGACCACCTGCTTCTGTACATTCCTACCTGTCAGTTAAGAGCTCTATAACAGGCCCTGCTTTGTGCTGATTTATTAGGACTTTCACCTAACCTTTCTACCTCTGCTCTTCCTTTTTACATTGAGATTTACACTTGAAAGTCATTCTGATCATTCATACAACCCAAACCTTCCCCATAAGATGTCCCAGTACAATTTTACCTTCACATACACATCTGAAGACATGGGCTATGACTCATGAAAGCTCATATTGAAATAAATGTAGTTTATCTTTAAGGTACCACTGAACTTTGTTTTATCATGTGTTGTGTCATTAGTAACAGAAGTGAGGTGATCTGTTACAAGAAGCAGGGCCTTTTCTGTCATGACTCCCCATATGTGAAATGCCCTGTTTGAAACCCTAACTAGAAGCTCTGGGATTTCCAGAAATCCCAAGACAACGATATGCAAGATCCAGGTTTACTTACAAGGAGATTTTAATAAAGAAACTTACAGAAATAGCAAGCTAATTTCAGTCCACTGGACCTCAGCTACACACAGTGAAGTCAGCCAAAACCCAAGATGAGATGCATAGCTAGAACTAAACATCTTATACCCTAATTGCTGGCTACAAGTAATAGCATCAAATAGCATCATCAAAGCTACATTCTAGACACTGAGAGACCTTGCACCTGGTACTTAGTAACTGAGGGAAACAAGTCAGCTTTCTAGATAAGGATTCGGGAGAGTGCAAACAAAAACATTCTCTGGGAAGTGGCCGGTCAGCCATCCTCCCATGCCCATAGAAGTCAGGAGCTAACAGAACTCCAAGATGGGGTAACAAAGGCTATACATGCCCTCTTTGCACTTATGCACCTGGTGCTGGATCTGATAACTTTCTGGCACCAGGCATGTATTTGTTTGTTTGAGTTTTTGTTAAATGTTGTGTTGTCAGTTTATTTTTATTTTGTCATGCTTCATGGATTTACTCTTTTATGTTCATTGTTTAAGTTTGTTTTGTTGTCCCATTTGCCCTGGCATTTTTTCCTGCTCTGCTGTTTTATATCTTGATGGATCTTAATTTTGGTCTTAATTGCTTTTAATTTGCTTTAAATGCTGCTTTAAGATTGTTTCCACTGTGATTTTTGGAGTGAGTTTTTTTGGTACTGCGTTGTGTCTTTGTATTTAATTTGTTACAAACCACCCAAGAACTTCTGTGTTGAGGGGCAGGATACTTTTAAAATAATGTTAAAATATCTCAAAAATGTTAATAACCTAAATTAACATAAAAACCTATAAAACAAAAACCTATAGAACAAAAGCAGAAGCTGTGAAAAGAGTTGACTTGGAAAATACATGAATAAGAAAACAAAGTTTAACTTTCCAGTGGTAACAAGCAGAAAAGTTTTCACTGGAGTGGTGTAGTGGTTAGAGTGCAGGACTTTAAATCTAGAGTCCCAGATTCAGATCCTCACATTGCCTGGAAGTTTGCAGGGTGACCTTGGGCCAGCCACACACAGTCAGCCTACCCTACCTCACAGGGTGGTTATTAGGATAAAATGGAGGCGAGGAGGATGATGTAATCCACTTCGGGACTGTATTGGGGAGAAAGGTGGGGATTAAATGAAGTAAATAAAAATCTGTGTGATATTAGCAGAGAGGAAACCAAACAAACAACCTCTGAAAGGAAGTTCCAAAACTGCTTCGTTGGCTTCCAGAAAGCTGCTGCCAGCATCAGTCTCAACAATGGCTAGTAGTAGTTCATACATGAAAAATGATTTTAATGAATGTTTCTAGAATACCAATAGGATGGGTGACAATTACTTTTGGGGGTGGTATTAAAGCCTTGGATGGCTAAGAGGGAGGCAGGAAGTTTGATCCAACATTCTCTTGACATATGAGTTTTGAATGAGACATTTGCCCAGAAGTGACTTCCTGGTCTTTATGCTCTTCGTTACAGAATGCAGAGTCGCTTCAAGGCTGTAGTGGGAATTCAGTGGTACACAGGGATGAGGAAGAACCCAAAATGATGGATACCGTATAGTACTCCTGAGCCCAGCTGCTCTTATTGCAAAGAAAAGAACATGCTGACTTTATTGAGACTTCTTTTTAAGGGTGCTGCACTTTAGTTTGGCTGTTTTTTGGAGAGAGGGTAATCCAGAAACACACTTGTCCTTCGTTTGGAAAATGTGCTGCTAGGGTTTTTGTTTTCTTTTGTTTGTGTTTTAGGAGAGAGATTCTTATCTGTCGCTGAATGTGAAACTGGAGGTTTCTTCTGCTACTACTAAACTCTGCCCTTTTTAATTTTAGGAATCAAATTATGGGGGGAAATCTGCACAGTTGCAATGTTTACAAGTAGTTAATCCTAGGAGGAATCTGCTTTAGTCTTATTAGACATGCCCATGTCTCACTCTGGATTTTGAGATCATTGTTATACATTCTATTGCTTGTATTGTGAGCACTCAAATCTGATTTTATCATGAATAGCAATAAATCAGTGGTTGCTAGCAACATTGCTGATTTGGATGGCGGGGGGGGAGCACTGGCCTTTTAACTCTGTTGCCAGGATGACATATTAATTTTCGGCTTTGGGCCAAAGGCTTTTATTTTTTGTTTTGACATTACCCTAATTTGATGTGCAAGTGGCAACAGTTGCCCAGACTTGAATGTGAAAACAATATTTTCTAGAGCTATTGTTGCAGGAAAGCTAATTTTCCTAGAACAAGGGAATGGTTTAACACACATCTGCCACTGGGCATTCAGAAGGGAAGAGAAATCAGCATTAGCTGGTTACTTTTGTACCCAAAGAGTGATTGTGATAATTTTTTTTAAGTTAAGATAAGTATTTAAGGGAACTTAAGTGCCAAATCCAAACAAAACTTTTTAAAAGCAAACTGTATTGAGTGTGAAGCTTAAGGTTTGCCTCAGCAGGGCAAGTCTCCAGTTGATAATGTAAAATGAAAACATCTCCAGCACCCAAAGAATTTGTTTTATCAGTTCCTGGTCCTAGAGTGTTTTCCATATACACCAAACTCTGTCATCTTTACATGAAAATTGTTCTCATGATTCCAACAGGAAGTCACCGCCATCTTCCACCCTTCTGCAGTTGCCATGCTGCAGCTAGACAGGCTGAAGACATGAATGGGTTGTTGCTGTTTAGTGACAATGCAGTTTCAGCTCTCGCAGGGGGCATGGGTGTGATCCATCCCAGAATCAGGGAGAGATATGCTAGATTTTAATCTGAAACTTGTTTGCCTCGGTTCCCTTGTTCCTTACTTAATCTGGTGGAAATGGCAGCCCATAGGGAAACCTACCATTGGATTCCAGAGGAGTTATATAAGTGCACGATGTAGAACTGTGTGTACAAATGAACTGTTATCTGTAGACTTCCTGGTGCCAGGAAGTGAAGCTTTAAACAAAAAAAAATGGACCAGTGGCTTGCCTATTTAGCAGTAGGAGCTGAAGTAGAAGAAGGTGTAACTAAGAATCGGGGTGTAGACATTATTTTCTCAGTATGTACATAATTGCTTTATATTCTGGTCTATGCAGAAAACAGTATTTTAACATACCAGCTAAACAAACAGAACCAAGTTGAAGGGGGGGCACATTCCCCTAGGCATTACTTACTATTTATAACTAATGGGCAGTGGCACTGTTGCTAGATAAACTGTCCTTTCTTCTGTACCCTGACTGTCAATGAGGCTCGAAGTATGAAGCAAAATCATCCTTAGCATGTGTCCAGTCCACATTCTGTAGTTGAAACAGTTTCTTTGGATGTCCCAAAAAGAGGAGATAAGACGTTCACTTAGCTGAAAACATTTTTACTTTAAGGGATCAGACACTGAGGCGCAAGAGAATGGCCTAATCTTCACACAAAGTTCCAACTTTGCTATTAAATATGTGGTTCTTTGCTTTCCAGCTGTTGTAATGACATCACTTCAGAATATGGTTTCTAATCATTAGAGCCCTCCTAGTTTCCACCTTCATATATTAAATGCTGTAGATCCAGGGCACCGTGTCCTTGTGTAGAATTGGAACTGAAAGTTTCCCTTTAAGTTCAATATGTAAGATTGAGTGACTTTGCCTTTTAACTTTACAGGCAAGGAAACAAAGGTTTTCTTCTTGCTTATTGTCACTTTACTGTAGGAAAAAGTTTTGGGTGGTAGCTGTTAGTGTTACAAAAACACAATTGAATTTACTGGGGTGTGGAATGATACCTCGACCAGGTTCTGCAACTCTCTGCTTACTTTGGGTTTATATGAGATCCCTGTTTTTAAATTAGTACATTTTTCTCCATCCCTGCATGCAAGTGTGGAAGTATGCACCATTGAAATTTTTGCCACATAAGCATGAATACGATAGAGTACATTTATCCCTAAAAGGAATTTCAAAGGAAAGCTGCATGAAAACATGAAGTGGTAAACTTTACGGGTATTAGGAGACTGTCAGATGAGATTCATTGGCAATAGTTTAAAAACAAAGCAACTTCCCTTTTTTTGTGTAAATACAGACTGATTTGTGAACTTGATGGAAAATTAGTGGTTTAAAAAAAGAGAGGGGACAAATAACAAATCTTCTGTGATCATTAATCAGCTTCCTTGTCTGGAAACCTTTAGGTACTGAATGGATGACAAGTCAACAGGGAATGGAGCAACTGACCACTGTTACATATTCTGTAATGATTTACTGATGTTTCTGGGATTGTGTCTTCATCAAGGATATGGCGTTATGCTTACAATTGCCCTGGCCACAAAAAGTGTTTTATGTTCTCCAGTGGACTCCTGTGGTTGGATTGATATCACTCATGGGTTTGTGAATATAAAACATACAAAAGAGACCTTTTCTCATATGCAAGCAGAACACAGCTTTTTTTTTTGGCAGCCAACCCATGGCAACCCTGTAGGGTTTTCAAGGCAACAGATATTCAGATATGGAGGACTTAATGATATGAACCAGTAGCATGAAGCTTGATGTGTTCTCCTTTACAAAGAGTATTCCAGGATCTCATTTCTTAAACTTGTATTTCATTCGCACATGGTCAAAATTAGCCTTTCTGGAGTTGCTAGTAGCATTGTAACTATCAGATGTTTGGGGACTCTCAGGAGAAATTGATTGGTTTATATGCTAGTTCTGAACTTGGCCATTAAATTCACTAAAATCTCTGGGCTTCCATGTAAATGTGCGTAGGATTGTTGGGACTATTTCACACAATATGCAGAGGCAAACTTGGGTTTGCTATTGAGTGTACACTCAGCTGCAGCCACTGGTCTGAAACATGGGCTTGCAAACATGTTTGTTCCATTCAAGCTTTCTATTTTAGGTATACTTGTAAAATATGGCCTTTAGCTGCCTAAATTATTACTATAGTGGCATTCTCCCACCAGTACAGAATTGAGAGAGCTCTATTTTCACAATATTATTACTGCAGGGATTATAGATCTTTTGGGACAGAAAAGTGTCAAAATTCATTGACCCACACTCCCAGCCTTCCTGGGGGGGGGGGGTATCAAAACCTCTGTAATAAATTTTTATGTATGTAGTGGGAAGAGCAAATGGCTTATCAGTTGACAGCTCCATTTATTTTATGGTGCTATTTTTGTTTCTAATCACTCCACTTTGTCTTTTAAAAAGCTGGAATATACAATATTTGTCTGTTATTGCTGTATTTAGGCTGTTATCTTATTACCAGACTACTTTTCAGAGGTTGCTCAAGGTTTGGTTGCATTCTACTGTACCAACCATGTTTTGTTAGTGATTTTGTTTCTTTGAATTGGTTTTCTAGAGTGGTAATTTAGCCTATGAAAACTTTAGTGAGACACCCTTGCTTTTGTAACTTCATTTAAAATACAAATACTTCTAAAGCCTTAATGTGACTTAAGCTTCACAGCCTGGAAAAGAGACCTGTAAAACTGTCCCATCTGACTTTTGGATCTGTCACCATCTGTTAATAAAATGTACTTTTATTGTAACACTAATTGATTTTAAACAGACTTTAGCCTTTGTCAAGGACCAAGACTGTTTAAACCGGGGGCTACTGTTACCTCTACTCAGAGCTAGGTCATGCAGAGTTTAGACTAACCATCCTATTTGAGATGTGTGCTGCCAGGGAAGCAAGTAGCTAAGGCAAAATGTTTGATGCAAAGCTGTTTATTGGGCTCTGGAAATCAAATTGCTTGAAGGCATCATATTTTAATCACTTCTTCCCTTCTAAGACTATACATAAAATGTGCAACCTTTTCATATCAGCACCCCCTTCCTAGCGATGTCCAGATACTACCTACCGTTTAAAAAACCAGTTTATTAAATTAGTTTTACAAAAATCAAAGACATCTAATATGAAAATACCACTTTAAAATTGATATCAGAAATAATGAGATGATTGCAGAGTTGGAAAGTGGCATTTTTACAGTTTTAACTTGAATATTGATCAGTGTGGCACATTACTTCATAATGCAACCCATCTAGTCACCATGATTTAAGTTCTCATGAGATTTGTCTTTTTCAGAAGTGCAGCTGTCTATTGATACTTCCACATAATAGGACTGGGACAGGTCTGCTTCAGTCAGGTGCAGCAGTTTCCTTCTGGCTCACATCAGGCAGCTTGGTTTGAAGAAAACGATGAACATGAGGCCAGATTTTGTCGGTCTCTGTTCCAGAGAAAGATTCTAACACTCTTTTCCTTCTGTAGATAAAAAACCCAAGAGATACATTAAAAGTTTGGCTTACTTATGGATTCTATTCTTCTTTCAGAATGTCTCCCTCCTCTGTTCCATCAAGAAACAAAACTGCCTGAGTTTCCCTAAGGATTTCAGAAGAACGATACAGCTTTGTAGCCAAACATATCAATATATATTTGGATATGTAGGCTGTATCCAAACATATGAATCTATATGACTTTTGTCCCCAAAGTGGTTATAGACGTTTCCAATGCAGCCAATTCAAACAATACCATTTAAGTAAATAGCCCCCACCCACACATTCATCCTGGGTGGATCCCGATAGGCTAGATCTTCACCTGATAAAAATAAGGATCTTACCGGTAATATTCCAAGACAGGTCTGGTTTCTGCTTCATAAGATTTCAGTCTCTTCATAATAGTTTCTGGTTTGTCGTCATCACGTTGAACAAGAGGCTCTCCAGTAATATCATCAGTGCCCTAAGTTATAGTAAAGGACAAGCATAATAGAATTTCACACAAGCTGGTTCTAGGGAGAGGTGTTAAACAATCTGACGACTAACAGATTTGCAGGACTCTTTTGATTTCAGTATTCAGTTTTAAGTTTTCCCTGTATCTGTTACGTTCCTTCTGCATGTCTTCATAGCTGTCTCACTAATCCTGATACATGCTTGGGCATGATGGTCCCTGTATTGGTATAAAGTTACAGGTGGAAAGATGGCAATACAAACTTTAGACGGTAGTCATTTGCCTGTTCTGTATTTTACTTTTTAAGAAAATATATAAAAATAAGCCATATACTGGCAATTTCTAAAAAAGTATAACATTCCTCTCTCATACCTGCACATGACTATAATACAGCAGCCGTTTGTTGCTGCCAGCTTTGAGAGTTCCAATGAGTCTGAATTCGGTCTCCCTATCTTCCCATTAGGCAGTCAATACTGTCAAAATAGGAGCTGCGGTGGCTGAAGTGGTTAAGACGCTGAACTGCAGGCTGTGGAAGGTCAGTAGTTCAGCAGTTCAAGACCCGGGTGCCGCAAGACGGAGTGAGCTCCCGTCTCTAGTTCCAGCTCCTGCCAACCTAGCAGTTCGAAAGCAAGTCAAAATACAGGTTTCCCATACTGGATGAGTCTTTTATTCCTCAGATAAATATCCCTATAAGCACATAGCGTCACAGAGGTGGTAGAGGGAGAAGGCATGTGTATGTTTATTGTAAAATTAAAATTGATGTAGAAGGAATGTCTAGATTCTAAATAGTCAACAGCTTAATGTAGTCACATAAGGGTACCTACTCATTAAAAAGATGCTGAAATCAAAAGCAAAGGACTGACACAGACTTTTGTTTCGAAGTAGTACAGATCACAAATGAGCTTAGCAACTTTCCCACTGCTAGCAAGGATGAGTCTGTTCCAGTTTTGATCAAAACTAGCGAACAGCAGAACTCCAAATGTAGGATCTGCAATTGTGGCACAACTGCATTCATGACAATCAGCAGGGATTGTCAGTAGATACAGGGCAGTCCAAATGTTTAGTGCATTGTTTGAGTAAAGGAGGTAGTGACATCCAAGTGCAACCATGTAGAAAGATGCATATCACTAACAGGCACTTTGGGAGGGTTGAACTCCAGGTTGTAGACCCTGCCACTCGCAGGATGGATCCATCGTGCTGTCAGGCGTTGCTGGATTGTCTCAAAAGGCACGTCTAAGTCAATCACAGTATCGATTGGACACCTTTTTTCCAGAGCTTCAGCCTGTGGAACAGTCCTTGGGAAACCTGTGAAATGACAAATGCCACTGTAAAAGTCTAGTAGCAGAGGAGTGAGCTCTTGAAGAAACAGAAGCCTGGTGTAAAACCAGTAGGGTTGCCAACCTCCAAGTGGAACCTGAAGATCTCTTTGAATTGCATCTCCAGATGACAGAGATTAGTTTCCCAGGAGAAAATGCCTCCCCTGGCTTGACCCCTAAAATCTCCAGGAATTTCCCAACCCGGAGATGGCAACTGTAAAAACTGGTCACACAGTTGCATTTCTCTGTAGTACAGGGCCTGGCTCACCTGCCTGAGTCAGCTGCAGATATTTGCATGCAGTGTACCTATTTCTGAAAGTGAAACACTTTCCTTGGATCACATGCATTTATTTTGAGGCCATCGATGAGACAATTGGCCCTGCCTTGCCCCAGGATGACAGTCTTGGCAATGTGGCCCCTCTGCAATTCTGCCACCTATGCCCATCCTACAAATTAACAGAGACAACACACCCAAGTTCAATGATACTCAACCATAGGTCAAGTAGAAAACAAACAAACCCAGCTGCAGAGACAACCTGATAAGAAAATCCAGACTAAACCATCAGAATACAGTAAAATGACATGCCTGAGCTAAGGGAGGTGTTCTGGATTATTTTCCTATGGCTACATTTTACTCTGGTCTCTTAAACACAATACAGCAATCAGATTAACCTGGCTACAAAAAAGTTATTCATTTGTAATATGGAGCAACTGGAAATTATTTAATAATTCTCAGCTGCTCCTGGGAAGAAGCCGTTTTCTTTATTCTTTTCTCTTAGAAATGATTTTAATCGCTTATTTTCTTAGTTTATTCTCTGATTCCCTTAGGCAGATGTGGGGGGAGAGGGGTACTCAGGTCTGTATTAAACATTTTTCAAATGTTCCAGAAAAGGCTAGGGTTCCCTTTGAAACTTCTCAGGGGCTCCTCATTAGAAAAGGCAGCTTGCCCTCCACTCCTGAGCTTCCCCAGAAATGCACAGCTGCAGGAATTTAAGGAGGCACCCCAGTGCACACACTTAGTTCACGCAACACAGTGCACAACCCAATGGGGCTGGTAAGAGCCTCATACTGGAAAGATTCCAGAAGCTTTTGCAATGTCCAGGGCTTCTGTGCCAGACGTCCCCGGGTTTTTTGGCAGACTTAGTTGGCATGAAAACGATCCCCTGAAGGTAGCAAAGTTTGAAAACTACTGTTTCAAACTGATGAGATGCCTGTTGGTGTGATGGATGGGCAAGCAGGAAAACAAGCGGCATAGTGCAGCAGGCACCACCTCCCCCTTCACACAGAGAAGCAAACACATTTCCTTACTTCATGAGAAAAAGGGCAGGACTGAGGTTGGCCCAGCTGCTTGTCACACAGAAACCCACCCACCCACCCACCCCGACTCAGGGGCCCTCCTCAGTCGGGTATCTCTAATGACCGCCTTTATCTCAGCAAATCCTGTAAGTTCCTGACGCTGTTTCATTTAAGCCTTTCTTTGTATATTCACTGTGCCTTCCTCTCTCCTAGGAGAGGTGCTAAATGGCTTTTGCAAGTGCTTGGGCCTCCATATGAAACACACTCCCACCATGAACTATGGAATCACAGCTACAAGCTTAGACCAAATGCTTGTGTACTATTTAGTCACATTTTATTAAAGGGGTTCAGGGAATCAGCAGAAGTGGCCGTGGGACTGGGATATCCATTCTACCTGATACAGAACAGGGGGTAATAACTAAAAGCCATACCCTCATATCTTGGAGGGAATTCCTTAACTAAATATCTTGTACCAGTTCAGGAAATTGTTCAGGCTCCAATTTTCATTAGCTTCTAGAAGGCATGGGGGGGAGGGGAGAAGTCTCACATAATGCTTCTTTGCACAGCCTCAGTGCTTAATGCATTATAACCAAGGGCCAACTTTGGTTCTTCAATGGGTTGCAACAAGACTCTTACCGTCCAGCAGCAAGTGGTGCTGCTCTAGTGTTTGCAGCTCATTTAGCATCAGCTGGGTCATAATATCATCAGGAATAAGTCGCCCCTGATCAATGTAGGTCTTAGCAATTATACCAATTTCTGTGGAAACCAAAAAACAAACAAGCCTCCTTAGAATCCCGCAGCTGTATGGAACTGTACCGCTTCCCCCTCCATTGTTTTGAATTTTCTGCTTTTCATTCAATACTTCTGCCTTCTTGTGGTGAAAGACCAGGGACAAACTGTCTCTTCTTTGAGGATGTGGGCCTTTTGTTCTATGACTAGGCCAGATGCCCACTGTGGCTAATTTATGTCATGTTCTGCAGGGAATCAGTTGCCAAGCAATGGAGTACAGGTCTCAATCTTTTATTGCAAAACAAAATTTGTGTGCTGTTACGTATTCCACAGACAACTAATTCTTCTTTGGGAAAAGATTTTATATAACATGTTTATAATTAAGTCTTGTTGGCATTTGCAAACTGTTAAGCCATATCTCAGGGAGAAGATGAGGGAATTCTCCTCAGCTCTCAAGACCAGCATTGAGTCAACATCTCTTACACCCTCATCTGCCACCCTTAGGCAAACGGCACACACCACCACAACTCTTTCTTTTCCATTACCTCCCTCCCTGGATATGATCTTCCTTTAATTTCAGTGGTAAACTCTAGGTGGATATAAGTGAATGTTTAACTTGCATGAACTTGTGACTGCTGCAATGTATATTTAAACTGGCTAAATGCCTCTGATTCAGCACCGTATGAGAGACAAACAAGGTAGAAAGGGAAGAAAACTGAGGGTAACAAAAGATGACACTGGGCATCCTTTAGTGCAAGTTACAAAGTTCCAAGATCTATACAGAGAAATTAAAAAATATATGTGTAACAGTTGTAAAATTTGAGTACTACAGACAAACCATTTCAGGTATTTTTTATTTAGTTATGCATTTCATTCCCAGACAAATAATTCTGTTAATTCCAGTGGGGTAGCTGTGTTAGTCTTTAAGGTGCCACGGGACTTCTTCGTTATTTTGCCACAAAAGACTAACAACATTTATTCCACAATGAGCTTTCATGAGTCAGAGCTGATTTCATTCTATTACCCTTGCAGCTTCACCCAACCCATGGACAGAAAAAATAGCATCCACTACCATGAAACAACAACAAAACCCCACGCCTCAAGATTAATTCCTTGCAGCATCAAAAATAGAGAAGTGACAAGCTGGGGATCTGCAAATGTATCACAGTAGGAAATCCTCACCCTGAAAATCTCAATCTCCCGGGTTCTCTGGAGTTTTATGGACCTGAGAGGGCTCATTTTGCCCTCTTCTTCCCACGTTGTTTCTTTTAATGAAGCTCAGCAGCTCTCACTACTCTCCCCATTTGGGAGTATTTGCAGACCTCACCCAACTGTCTTAGGTTGTTGAGGAACCTTACACACATCATTTTTCTGCAGAAAGGGAACCCCCCCCCCCCCCAAGTATATGACCCCTACTTTGTTTGTGAATGACCCTGTTCCATGGACATTGTTATCTACAAGGAGGCTAGGCCAGTTTACTTGCTGGGAAGTGAAATTCCCAGCAATGGGATCCAGGACATAAATCAGTACAAAGGTCCCCAATGTCATTAGGCAAACTTGTCTTTCCAAGACAGATTATGAAGCCGTATTCACTGCCCAAGAGACATGTCTGTATTTCCTAGAACACCTGAGTCCAGGAAAGCGAGGCTCTGTAGGGTAAACCAAGCGCTTTCTCTTGGAATTAGCCACCAGGTGTCAGATTCAAATCCCACAGTTTGCCATACTGAAGACGATTTGTGTTTTCTGTCATCAAGAATGGATTGCTCTGCTCTGCTCTGGATAGCCCAGGCAAGCCTGATCTTGTCAGATCTCGGAAGCTGAGCAGGGTCGACTCTGAAAAGTACTTGGATGGGAGATCTCCTTGAAATACCAGAGGCGGGAGGTGGGGGCAGGCTTTATTCAACCACCTCTCTGAATATCCTCCAGGCCCCCAGTAGGGGTCAGTCACCAGAGGTCGCCATGACTTCCAGGTGCGCGCACGCACACACACACACACACACACACACAAATACAAAAAGAAGAAGAATGGATTGCTCTGCCAAGGTTTCCTGGCCATAAAAGCAAAATGATCCTTAAGCAGCAGTATCATGCTGAATGGTGCATGCAGGGAACAACCACAGCTATTGTCTTCATGCCCTGATGTGTGAAAGATTCCAGAGGTGGGTTTGGCTGTTATTAGAAACAGAAAGAAAAATGACTATTTATTTAACTATCTATGCTATAATTCTGCCACCAGCCTCTCCAAGCAACTTGCAACAAATGTAAGTGTTAAAATATCTTTGAAACATAGTTATATATACCACAAAGACAGCAAGAGCTCAGCAGCCACATTCCAGTTTGAGCTACAAAAAACAACAGTTGAACATACATCCAGCTGCCTCATACTGAATCACCATCATTCCATCAAGGTCAGTATTGTCTACTCAGACTGGCAGCAGCTCTCCAGGGTCTCAGGAAGAGGTCTCACTTCATGCTACCTGGTCCTTTTTGAGATGCCAGAGACTGAGCCTGGGACCTTCTGCATGCAAAGCAGAGGCTTTCTCACAGAGCCACAACCCCTCCCCAGTGCTCAGAAGTTATCAACAGAACTTAAATGTCTCAATGGTTCAACCAAAAGTATCTTAGCATACTTCCAATGCTAGCTGCATGCGTCAAACCCCTCCCCAGTGCTCAGAAGTTATCAACATAACTTAAATGCCTCAATGGTTCAACCAAAAGGGCACCTCTTAGTCTCTTAGCACACTTCCAATGCTAGCTGCATGTGTCAAAAGTCATGTCCACAATGCTGGGTAATGCTACCATATATGTTCATGCACACACACCCCTCTCTAATAATTTTACTTTTATTCTACTGTCCTCTGCAGAGGACAGAGAGCTTTGTCACATGACAGTACAGGAGGACTGACACTACTGTGTTACACAAATGTCTTGCGTTTCCACATCTAGCACCACCATCAACAGGTTGGTACCCTCTTGTGAGACTGTTTCAGTAAGCCAAAAGAAAGAGGCAAATGCACAACAGCCATACAGCAGAGCTGATGTATTCAGAACCCCAATTCATCCTGGAGTGGCTACCCATTTTCAGTTTCCCAGAAGGGCTCTCACAAAGATGCATTCTGCCCTCATTGCAGTGCTGCATCAGATAAAAACTACTCTGCTGAATTTCTGCGTCTTGCCTGCCTGCTAAGAGCACAAGAACGCTGCGGGGAGGGGGGGGGGGCGAGGTGGCAAGCATAACTTCTGGGGGTGCCTTCCCAGGTGGCTCCTCTAGACCTCCCGCCTGCACAGCCACTGGCTCCAGATGGTTGCAGCCCCTGGAAAGTCGTGGTCTGCTGAGCAGCGTTATGCGGGTGCACACACGACGAACTCCCACCGGCCCCCTCTGACCCCAAAGCGCGCGCCCCCTCTCCATACCTGTCCCCTTGTTCATGTTTTCCCTGAGCAAATCGCCGCTGGAGAGGTGCTTCAGGGCAAAGTGCTTAACGATGCGGGAGGAGATGGTGCCTTTCCCGGACCCAGGGGGCCCCATGATGAGGGCCCGCAGCAGCAGCGGCCGCACCACCATGCCGGAACCGTTTTGGGGGGCTGGCGATGCCCAAGAGACGTCGCGGGGGATTCTGAGCCGGGGAGCCTCAGCAGCGGCTCTGGGCAGCCCGGAGCATCGTCCTCTCTCGCCACGACCCCGGAGCCAACTCAACCCGCCTCCCCCCTCCCCTCCCCGGAGATTAGACGACAAGACCCGCCTGCCGTAGCGGCGCAGGAAATGGAGGCTGAACCCGAATGCCTACGAAGCTCCTCCCTCGGTCTTAGCCCAGCCCCGAGCTTTCTTTTTGGTTCCTGCTGCCACTTCCCAGACTTTTCTTGCTCCCAAACGCTCTTTGGCCTCCTCGTTTCCTTGCTATCGTTCCTTTCCCACATGGGTAGAATGGCCCTCCTTACTGCAGATCAGTTGGGACCAATGTTTCCTCTAAGCTGAGTTAGTGTGAGCTAGCTCACAGTTTTTTAGCCTCCGGCTCACACATTTTGGTCTCAGCTCAGGGAAAATGGCTCCAGAGCAAACTGATTTCTGCAGCAGCCAAATCGCTCGCTCACAACTCTAATGCCAGCAGCTCACAAAGTAGAATTATTGCTCACCAGACGCCACAGCTTAGAGGGAACATGGGTCGGGACCAAATCTCCCCCCCCCCCCCCCCCCCCGGTTTTTTTCCTCAGCATCTTTTTTTTTGGGCGGGGCCCAAACCCCCCCCCCCCCCCCGCTCTAGGTTGTATGCTCAGGATCTGCCAATGCCACATACGTAGGAAAGCCAACCTCCAGGTGGGGCCTGGAGATCTCTTGAGTTACAACTGACTTCCAGGGAACAGAGATCAGTTCCTCTGGAGAAAATCGCAACATCGGAATTTCGGCATTATAGCCTGCTGAGGTCCCTCCCCAAACCCTGCCCCCCAGGCTCCACCCCCAAATCTCCAGGAATTTCCCAACTGGTAACCCAACCCTTGGGATTTTTTAAAATAAGATGTTATAATACAGCTTTTAAAAACACACACATACAGAGTTACTTTGGCATCGATATGGTTCCCCCATAAGGAAAGCAGACAGGAAGTGAGGGGGCTTATACCTCCGTCCCCATCTTCATTGAGAGACAGTTTGGTGTAGTGGTTAACTGCGCAGACTCTAATCTGGGAGAACCGGGTTTGATTCCCCACCACTTGCAGCTGCTGGGTGACCTTGGGCAAGCCATAGTTCTGTCAGAGCTGTTCTCTCAAGAGCAGTCCTCGAAAGAGCTCTCTCAGTCCCACCTACCTCACAGGGTGTCTGTTGTGGGGAGGGGAAGGGATGGGAATTTGTAAGCTGCTCTGAGTGAGACTCCGAGTGAAGGGTGGGCTATAAATCCAGTCTCCTCTTCCTCCTCCTTCTCCTCCTTGTCCTGATTTGATTTGCAGAAGATCCTGGATCTCCTGAAGCCTAGTCCAGTTTGCCCCGAGATCCCCTACACTCTTACTTAAGCATCCACATATCGTGCTGAGCTCCATCCAGGTTTGGTGGTTCAGACCACAATGTGAGCATTGTGCTTTCCAGTAAGATGTGATGGAGCTCTTTGTGCTCTCCCCAGCTGTGATTGAGTGGAATGAAAAATTAGATATTAGTATTTAGGGCAGGGGTGTCAAACATAAGGCCCAGGGGCCAGAACTGGCCCATCTAGGGCTCTTATGTGGCCCATGAGTAATTGATGCAAGGGAGGAAGTGCTGGGGGGAGTGGGCAGAGTCACTCCATTGTGGCTTCAGCATGGCAGAACAACCTCATCTGCAGCAATCAAGCATCATGGGAGCATCTGCCCAGTGCTACACTGCTGCCTCTCCAGTCCACCTATGTGTGTTTTCCTCTGCACCCCCCTCCCAGCCCTTTTGAATTTTATTTAGGTTTTTGCAGGAATGAGACAGTGAGATTGAAAAGCCGGAAGCTGCTTTCCCTTTCGATTAACCACTATATCTAGGGCACTTGAAGGCATTACTTACTGAAGCACTCAGTAGCTTTGTGGCATGCAGTCTACAATTTCTATTGTCTTGCTTCCCAGATTACTTTGGAGCTGTGGAACAGAGTGGAAGTGATTAGATCAGGAAATGGACCACAGCAATTCTAGGTTTCTATTCTGGGCAGAGCTTCTGAGTAGTGGGGTAATAAACTGGCCAAGTTATACACCTCTTCAGTTTTGCTTTAATCCACCACAGCCCTTTCATTATGTATGCTATTTTTAGCTTCTCTTCATGTTTTTTAACCCATTTTAGACAGGGTCCCCAGGGAGGCAGCATAAACATCATCATCATCATAGAAAGTACAGTGAAACCTAATGCCTTATGGTTCTGTCTGTGCCAACACAAAATCTCACCAGTGTAGCTGAGCAGAATACAGGTATCTCGGGTGGGAATCAAGGCCAAACCATGGACTATGTGGGGGAGATCCATTCAACTTCCTAGTCTTTTAAAGAGGGTAACACTGCAGGGGAGGTGGCATCAACCCTTTCTTCCTTCATAATTTTCCTGAATAAAATTCCCTTCCCAGCTGCTGTTAAGAACATAAGAACATAAGAGATGCCAATGTTGGATCAGGCCAAAGGCCTATCCAGTCCAACACTCTGTGTCACACAGTGGCCAGAAATACCAGTTGCCATCAGGAGGTCCACCAGTGGGGCCAGGACATTAGAGGCCCTCCCACTGTTGCCCCCCCCCCAAGCACCAAGAAGATAGAGCATCACTTGCCCCATTTATTTATTTTTTTATTTAACTTTCGATTTCTAGACCGCTCACCCCCGAAGGGCTCTGAGCGGTTTACACAGTACAATTTACACTTCTAACTAGGGCCACACACAGTTTTGGGGAGGGGAATGCCTACCAGGCACCCTACCGGCTAGCTGTTCTTCAAAGCCCCTATCTATACCTCAGCTCCATATGCGTATCTAATTCCCTTTTGAAGCCGTCCATGCTTGTAGCTGCCACCACTTCCTGTGGCAGTGAATTCCATGTGTTAATCACTCTTTGGGTGTTAGCATCATTTGGCAGAAAAGATATTTACAAGTCCAGTTCATCCTCCCTCTCCCAGTGCTGTAGCCTTGGTCTCATCATGACCCCATGAAGCTGCTTTGACGCCTTCAGTTAGGAGATCACAAAAAACACATTGAATGTACCAACCTTTTATATCATGTAGTGGTATGTATATACCATGCATTTGAAAACAGCCCTTTTTCATGTGCATACATTATTATTAGTTTACGTATATGTGTAAAAAAGATCATGTGGAAAATTTCCTGCTGCATCTTGCTAATATATGGGAATCTCTGTTCTCTCTTTCTGCAGCAAACAGCATCTCATCCTTCTCCTGGAGCTAAATGTGTCTCTTCTTACTGTGTATGAGGGACTCCATGAACATCCATAGAAGGGGCAAAAATCTTGTACCTTGTTGTGTATTAAGATAGACTACACATGCACTTGGGTTCACACGTGGTCAGGCGAACAAGCGCAGCTTAAGATTCTATAACAATAGCAGGTGAGGATCCGAGAACTAGCCTATCGGCCACCTTAGATCCTGCGCCCAGGCTATGATGGATAGCCACCATGTAAATAACCTATCATGGGAAGTGAGAGTGTGTGTTGGGTGTAGTGTGTTTCACAGACTTAAGCGGGGTCACGGCCCTGCAAGTTGTCTTGTGTTTTTACCAAGTTCCAATAAACCATGAGCTGGCCACTTTTACGCGTCCAAACCCAGTGTATTACATACCTTTAGCAGCTGTCTGGCAGGCAGACACTTAGCAGGTAAAACATTCCTCCTCATTGAATCTTCATGCCAGGAAGAGATTTACCCACTAACATTCTGCATATTCGACACTGTCAAGGACAGAAGCCCTCTGAGAACAAAAATTCTAGCAGCCCCATAGACTTGGCTGCCATTGCTGTGAAACTGAGTGAGACAGCACATTGCTAAATATTCAGCCAGTCCCTCATAGGATCAGAATGGGTGAACAGACAAGACTAGGAAACATGGGGGGTTGGATCCAGTAATGCATGAATGGAAACACAAATGCACTTAGTGCAGTTCCACTTGTGCAGGTAATAGCTGTAGCTGTGCTGCAATTAATTCTGCAACATCTTGTGCAAGCAGAAATGCAATCTGAGATAAAGTGAATTTAAATCAGCGCAAGCTGCCAGTGTGGTCTTTTAAGTACATTTCTGCTCGCACAAAGGGCTCTAGCATATGGAGAAATCTTCTATTGCACCCATCCCTATGCCCTGGAGAGAGATAATTTTCTGTAGGATTCCATGAAGCACAAGATTAGATTACACAAACTGTGTTTGATTAGGCCTTGGGTTGTTGTTTTTTCTTTTTCCTTATCTGGAAACCTGAAGTAACCATTAACTAAAACCTGCCAAATGGTCCACTTGCAGTTTTTGGGCCTCATCCTTTCAACCATGTATACTTTCTCATAGTGGTCTTGCTGTTTGGCAAACCAATCAGCTGGCCCTGAAGTCAGTTATTGTTATTTAAGGTGTGAACACACAACTTTTAATGTTTGTATGGGGGCACTATGAAAGCCCTACCACTTAACTTGGGAATTTTTAAACCAGTCTGGCTAGCTTTTTTTTGCTTGCCTGACTGAATTCTAATCAATAGACAGTTTGATGCATGTATATTTTTGCACACATGGTGACCACTGATTTTAATTTTCCACCCTGTAGGAGACATAACAGCCTTATGTCCATATTCAGCAATAATGGACTGAAAAGAACCTATTAAAATGATAAGGTTTCAAATGATTTACAGAGTAGGTGATATTACACTGTATTAATGGCATCTAGGTTTGTTCAAATCTGTTTTGATTTCATTGGGTTGTGGTTTGGACTATGAGGTTGCAATCAATCAATTATTCATGCCAGTCACATTTAATTTAGCATTATGCTATAGTCATTTTGTTATAATTTCACGTATTCCAGGTTTTAGCACAGGTAGAGAAAACTAATTCTCAGAATCTGCCCTGGCAATATTCACCCCTGAAGGATAAAAACAGTAAAAGAGCATTTTGTGTGGGGCGGGTATGTTTTTTAAGAGTTGCTAATACCATCTCTGGCCAATAGATGTCACCAATTCTCCATACAGGAAACCTATTTTAGGGATTTTGACACAATCTTTTTCCTTTCCTTTTAACTTTCAGAGCCAAACAACATG